TGGTAATATTCTATCAAAATTATGATAATTGGAATAGTTATAGTGATAATTGGATTGATTATTTATTTATTTATTTATTTTTGAGAAGGAGGCTCGCTCTGTTGCCCAGGCTGGAATGCAGTGGCGTGATCTCAGCTCACTGCAACCTTTGCCTCCCAGGTATAAACTATTCTCCTGCCTCAGCCTCCTGAGTAGTTGGGATTACAGGCGCACACCACCACACCCGGCTAATTTTTGTATTTTTAGTAGAGACGGGGTTTCACAATGTTGGCCAGGCTGGTCTCAAACTCCTGACCTCAAGTGATCTGCCTGCCTCGGCCTCCCAAAGTGCTGGTTTTTCAGACGTGAGCCACCGTGCCTGGCCTGATAATTGGATAATTTATTACTTGAAATTATTATTTTAGTAAAAAACATATTACATAAAATCTAAAGATATCACAAATATTCGATTTTTAAATACTTTATCCATTTTTAAATATAGAGTTCAGGAGTGTTAAGAATAGTCAAATTGTTGTGAAACAACTTCCAGAATGTTACCATATTGCAAATCTGAACTCCATACCCAGCCCCTGGTAACTACCATTCTGCTTTCTGTTTCTATGAGTTTGACCACTTTAAATACTTCATATAAGTGGACTCATACGGTAGTTGTCTTTTTGTGACTGGCTTACTTCATTTGGCATAACATCTGTCATAAGTTTCATCCATGTTGTAGCATGTGACAGTATTTCTTCTTTTTTCCAGTCTTTTTTGGTAAAACATATAGTTTGCCATCTTAACTGTTTAAATGTACAGTTCAGAAGTATTAAATAAATTCATATTGTTGTGCAGCTATCACCACCATCCATTTCTAGAACATTTCATTTACTTAGTATGCATTGAACAGTAACCCCCATTTTTTCTCTCCTCCATTCTACTCTTTCTCTGAATTTCTAGGAACCTCATATAAGTAGAAATACACTGTTTGTCCTTTTGCAGTGGGCTTATTTCACTTAACAGAACGTCTTCAGACTTCATGTTACAGCATGCCTCAAATTTCTTTCCTTTTTAAGGCTGAGTAATATTCCATTTGTATGTATGTATATGCCATGTTTTGTTTATCCATTCATTAATGGACATTTGGGTTGTTTCTGCCTCTTGGCTCTTGTGAATAGTGTTGCTGTGAACTTGGATGTACAGATATCTCTACAAGACCCTGCTTTAGGCTGGGCACTGTAGCTTATACCTGTAATCCCAGCACTTTGGGAGGCTGAGGCAGGTGGATAGTTTGAGCTCAGGAGTTCAAGAGCCAGGGCCACATGGTGAATCCCTGTCTCTACAAAAGATAGAAAAATTAGCCAGGTGTGATGGTGTGTGCCTGTAGTCCCAGCCACCTGGGAAGCTGAAGCAAGTAGATCCCTTGAGCCCTGGAGGTTGAGGCTGCAGTGAGCTGAGATTGTGCCACTGCACTCCAGCCCGGGTGACAGAGTGAGACTGTCTCAGAAAAAGACCCTGCTTTAGATTCTTTTGGATCTGTACGCAGAAATAGAATTGCTGGGTCATATGGTTGTTCTATTTTTAATTTTTTGAATAGCCTCCATACTGTTTTTTGCAGTAGTTGCACCATTTATTTTTATTTATTTATTTATTTAGTTTGTTTGTTTATTTGAGACAGGGTCTTGCTCTGTCGCCCAGGTTGGAGTGCAGTGGCACGATCTTGGCTCAATGCAGCCTCCACCTCCCGGGTACAAGTGATTCTCATGCCTCAGCCTCCTGTGTAGCTGGGACTACAGGTGTGTCCCACCATGCCTAGCTAAGTTTTGTATTTTTAGTAGAGACAGTGTTTCACCATGTTGCCCAGGCTGGTCTACTCCTGACCTCAAGTGATCCGCCTGCCTCGGCCTCCCTGAGTGTGGAATTACTGGCATGAGCCACCATGCCTGGCCGTATTTTATTTATTTATTTTGTTTGTTGGGTTTTTTTTTTGAGACAGAGTCTCACTGTTACCCAGGCTGGAGTGCAGTTGTGCAAACAGGGCTCAATACAGCCTAGACCTCCCAGGCTCAAGTGATCCTCCCGCCCCAGCCTCCCAAGTAGCCGGGACTATGGGCACATAACACCATGCCCAGGTATTTTTTATTTTTTATTTTTATTTTTTGAATTTTTTAGAGACAAGGTTTCGCCACGTTGCCCAGGCTGGTCTTGAACTCCTTAGCGCAAGCCATCTGCCCACCTTGGCCTCTCAAAGTGCTGGGATTATAGGCATGAGCCACCACCCTGGCCAACTGCACCATTTTGAAATCCCACCAACAGTGCACAAAGGTTCCAGTTTCTCCATATCCTTACCAATCTTATTAATAATATTTTTTGATAGCTGTCGCTATGGGTGTGAAAGGATATCTCATTGTAGTTTTGATTTGCATTTTTGTGATGATTAGTGATGTTGAGCATCTTATGCTTATTGGTCATTTATCTAGTATATTCTTTGGAGAAATATCAATTCAGATTTTCTGCCCGTTTTTGAAATCACTCTTTGTGTGTCTCATTCGGTTACAGGAGTTCTTTTTGTATGTTCAGTGTATAGATCTCTTATCAGATGCATGTTTTGCAAATATTTTCTCCCTTTCTGTGAGTTGTCTCTTTACTTCTTTTTTTCTTTTTTTTGAGACGGAGTCTCGCACTGTCTCCCAGGCTGGAGTGCAGTGGTGTGATCTCGGCTCACTACAACCTCTGCCTCCTGGCTCCCATGTTCAAGCAGTTCTCCTGCCTCAGCCTCCCAAGTAACTGAGATTACAGGCACCTGCCACCATGCCTAGCTAATTTTTTTGTATTTTTAGTAGAGATGGGGTTTCACTATTTTTGTCAGGCTGATCTCGAACTCCTGACCTAGTGATCCGCCCGCCTGGGCCTCCCAAAGTGCTGGGATTACAGATGTGAGCCACTGTGCCCAGCAGTCTCTTTACTTATTGATGGTGTCCTTTGAAGCCCGAAAGATTTTTTATTCTATGTTTTCTTTGGTTTCTTATGCTCTGGGTGTCATCTCAGATTCTGTTGCCTAATCTAAGGTCATGAAGATTTACACCTGTGTCGTCCTCTAGGCGTTTTATATTTTAGCTCTCATTTTGAGGACTTGATCCATTTTGACTTAATTTTTGTATGTGGGGCTAGGTAGGAGTTCAGCTTTATTCGTTTGCATGTGGTGTTCAGTTGTCACAGCACCATTTGTTGAAAAGATATTCTTTCCCTCTTGAGTTGTCTTAGTACTTAGGTCGAAAATCAATTGACCAGGAATGTAAGAGTTTATTTCTGGACTGTAAATTCGGTTCCATTGATGTATATGTCTCCTTATGCCAGCAGCACACAGTCTTGATTACTGCAGTTTTGTAATACTTGTGTGTTTTTTTTAATTTAAAAAATTTTTGTTTTGAGATGGAGGTTTTGCTCTTGTTGCCCAGGCTGGAGTGCAATGGCATGATCTTGGGTCACTGTGGCCTCCGCCTCCCAGGTTCAAGCGGTCCTCCTTCCTTAGCCTCCCAAGTGGCTGGGATTACAGGCATGCACCACCGCGCCTGGCTAATTTTGTATTTTAAGTAGAGAGGGAGTTTCTCCTTGTTGGTCAGGCTGGTCTTGAACTCCCGACCTCAGGTGATCCACCCACCTTGGCCTCCCAAAGTGCTGGGATTATAGGCGTGAGCCACTGCTTCCAGCCTCTTTTATTTTTTTAACTGCTCCTGTGGAACAGGGCTACCACATAGGCAGTGTGCCCAGAGTAGCTGTGGATTATTTTGGGTTTCCCTTGTAGGTGATTATTATCCGTGAATTATGACAGTTTTGCTTCTTATTTTCCAGCCTTTATATTCTTAGAGATGGGAGTCTCACTCTGTTGTCCAGGCTAGAGTACAGTGACACAATCTCCACTCACTGCAACCTCCGCCTCCAGGGTTCAAGTGATTCTCCTGCCTTGGCCTCCCAAGTGGCTGGAATTACAGGCACATGCAACTACGCCCAGCTAATTTTTTGTATTTTTAGTAGAGATGAGGTTCCACCATGTTATGTTGGCCAGGTTGGTCTCAAACTCCTGACCTCAGCTGATCCTCCCATCTTGGCCTCCCAAAGTGCTGGGATTACAAGCATGACCCACCTTGCCCAAAAGTTCTTACTGCCTGCCTAGAACTTCCAGAACCATGGTGAATAAAAGCAGTGATAATAGATGTGTTTGTCTTAGTCTTGATTTTAAAGCAAATGTACTTAACGTTTTTCCATTAAGTGTAACAGTTTTCTGTGGGCTTCTCAGGGATACTTTTTCTCAGCCTAAGGATATTTTTTCTCTTCCTAGTTGGCTTTCAGTTTTTATCCTGAAAGAAAGTTGAATGTTATCAAATACATTTTCTGTATCTGTTAAGATGATCCATTTTTTTCTTTTAATTGTTAAGATAGTGAATTTTACTGTTCCATCTAGTATTAACTCAATTTTTTTTTCCTGCAGTAAACTCAGCTTGGTCTTAATATGTATTTTTTTTTGTATATTATTGGGTTCTATTTGCTAATATTTTGTTTAGGTATTTTGTATCTGTGAGTATTTTGTATCGTGTGAGTTTCACTTTTTCTTTCTCTTACTGTTCTTAACTAGTTGAGTATATCCCTATTCTCTGGAATATTTTGTATGAAATTGAAAATATCTGTTCCCTGGATGTTTGATATTTGGCTGATGTTTTGTGATAATAGAGACTATTTAACCCACATGTATGGGATCTACTTTTGACTTTGTGGAGTGAGAATACAGAAGAGGGTATTTGATTCATTTGATTATTACAGCTTGTTATTTCTGTACTGTGGGCTAGTCTAAGGTTACAGTGTAGCTGAAGTTACTCATTTGACTATGCAATAGGGTAATAAAATTGTTACACAGTTGAGCAATTGTTGTAATGAAAGCTAGGGAGTATGTCTTTACCTTTTTCTTGTATTACAGAAGGGCAGTGTTTTCTATATATAGACTAATTAAATTTCTGTTTATCTTACAGAAGTGATAGACCTTACTCATGATAACAAAGATGATCTTCAGGCTGCCATTGCTTTGAGTCTATTGGAGTCTCCCAAAATTCAAGCTGATGGAAGAGATCTTAACAGGTTATTGATTTAACTTATAATCGTTGCCCCCACATTTGTGTGTATGTCAAAGGCAATAGCTCTGTGAATGCCAGTCAGGAATAATTCTGCTAAGTGCCTGAATGAAATGTCTTTTAGGAGAAATTTTGAATTCGCATTAGCTTACTCTTTGGTTCACTTTTGAAAAAGCCAAACTGAAAGGGGTCTTATTGCAACCTGTGTCTTTGAGTAGAAGCGTGCAAGGTATTTCAGTTCACAGTTGCTAGGGTGAATTAAAAACAACCTAGTCCAGGTATTTGATAAATGTATATTCTCTTTTATAAACTTTGAGGGTTATGCTGTTGCACGTTTTTAAATGCGTTATTCAACTACCCTGTCTCATAAGTGATCAAGGAATCTATTTTTTTGAACTGGTACTGATTGGGTGATTGTTTGGTACTGTTCACCAACATCTAGTTCCAGTGGTGGCCTCTCCGTTTCTGGACATGTTTATTCCCATATGCTGCTGAGATGTTTATTTCAGGGAACATAGGGCTATGTTTTGTGTCCTGGGCAATTTGGAGGCTCTTACCTGTAGCACAGTGTCTCTCCTGCCCTTTTCAGTGGTGAGGTCTTAGATAGTTCACTGTGTTGAAATCTAAAATTTCTAATATGGTAGCCTTAAATAGTCTTGAATTTCAACTCAGTTCTATCATGGACCTTATTAGTAATAATGTCTGTTAGGGAAGGATTAACATTTCTACGTTTAAATCTTGCTTTTCAGTTGCGTTACAATCTTACAGTTCCTTATATAGCTAGGGATTATCCAGTAAATACTTTTTCTGGCGTTTTGAATTATCCACAAAAGGTTACAGCATCCTCCATATGCTATATTTATTCTTTAACTATTTTCTTTTTTGATGTGTGCCATGCTGCACAATATAGGATGCATGAAGCAACCTCTGCAGAAACTAAACGCTCAAAGAGAAAACGCTGTGAAGTCTGGGGAGAAAACCCCAATCCCAATGACTGGAGGAGAGTTGATGGTTGGCCAGTTGGGCTGAAAAATGTTGGCAATACGTGTTGGTTTAGTGCTGTTATTCAGGTATGATATTTTTAAGAGATAACTGTGTCTTTTGGAAGTAACTTTGTAATTTATTAAACTGAAATGTAGAAACATAGCTTTCAAAAAATTAAAACAGATATTTAAAACTGGGGAGTTTTTCTGGCATTATTGTGTTTGGATTTAGATGCTTTAATGTCTAAGTTGGGCAGTACTAAAAAGAAATCTGCTGTGGTTGTAAATATATTGAATAGGTGTTTTGGATAAGCATTTAGTGAATACTATATTATAGCAGTGAGAGTGAATAAGGAGGAATCAGTTGTTGAAGGCTATCATAGCTGTCCCGGTAGGCCACAGTGGTGGCCTGGAGTAGAGAAGTGGCAGAAATCATGGAAGGAGAGAAGTGAATGCATTCTTGAGGCGCCGAGGAGATCAAATCTTCAGGATTGCTGGGCAGTTGGATACAGGATATGCCTGCAGTAGTTGAGTAAGACTATGAGGTTTCTAGTTCCAGTAGCCAGGTGGATTATAGTACCATTTGACCTTGGAAGAGGAATAATTTGGGTGTGTATTAAAAGTGGATTTCAGTTCAGGTTTTTTTATTTGTTTGTTTTGTTTTTCTCTGACACGCGTCTTTTTCTGTTGCCCAGGCTGGAGTGCAGTGGTGTGATCTCAGCTCACTGCAACCTCCGCCTCCCAGGTTTAAGCAATTCTCCTGCCTCAGCCTCCTGAGTAGCTGGGACTACAGGCACGCACCACCAGGCCTGGCTAATTTTTGTATTTTTAGTAGAGACGGGGTTTCACCATGTTGGTCAGTCTGATTTCCAACTCCTGACCCCATGATCTGCCTGCCTTGGCCTCCCAAAGTGCTGGGATTAGAGGCGTGAGTCACCGCGCCCTGCGATCAGCTCAGTTTTAGATATGCTGAGTCTGAGGTACCTGTGCCTGTGTATGCTGTGGTCTTAACTACCCTTCATTAAATTCACAGAGTGCCCTTTTGTCCTTTGATCACATACCCAGCAAATCCTCCAATTTAAATGAGTTTAAGGAGATACCATGTAGGCATACAATTATATGAATTTGTACTTCAGAAAAAGTAGTGGGCTCCAGATATAGTTTTGGAAATCAGCACCATATAGATAGCAATAAAACCAAGGGAGTGAATAAATAAAACCAAGGGAGTGAATGAATTCACTAGAGGGTAGTTAGAAGTATCGATCAGGTATCTTAAACTTACATAGCCCCAAGGCAGCCCTTGGCACTCACCCCCACAGTCTTCTCCATCATGGTACTACCCAGCTGCTGAAACTAAAAACTGGAATTCTCCCTTGCTGCACATCCACTACATCCAGCTTCTATGTACTCTTAGGCTCTGGGGAAACAGCAGGGACTAAAACAAAACCTGTACTCTCATGGTTTACTTTGGAAAGAGTGGCACAGACAGTAAACAAAACATCAGGAGGTGACAAGTGTAAAGATGAATGAGTGAGTCTGGGGGATTCGACAGGGTTCAGCTGGAGAGGGCAGAGGGTCAGGGATGGCTTTTCTGATGAGGTGGGCATTTGAGCTGAGGTCTGAAGGTGGCCAGGGAATGAGCTGTATAATTACATAGGGAACATTTCAGACAATGAACAGCAAATAAGCAGACTGAGGTTCAGGAGCTTGCTTCATGTGTCTGAGAAATAGCAAATAGCCAAGTGATCCAGAACTGCTAGCAGTGGGATAGGAAAGGTGGTGGAGCTGGAGTGGGAGAGCTTGTGGTCACGATGAGGATTTGGGAATTCTAGATGAAATAGGAATGTACTGGAAGGTTTGGAGCAGAGAAGTGATATGATCATACTTCCAGTTTAAAAGGATCACTGGCATCTGTGTTGAGAATAGAATGTAGGAAGATAATGTGGAACATGTCAGTTCTTTCTTGTCTGAAAAGAGAGAGAGAGAGAGAGAGAAAGAGAACACTCCCTGGATTCACCCCCTTCCTCAGCCTTCACTCCTGTGGAGGGTGGACAAGAGGCAGCAGAGGCAGAGGATACCTGAGTAAGGCTTCTGGGACAGCGTGAGCAGACAGCGTAAAAAGTATATCTCAGGGGTTGGCCTTAACAAGGAAAAGGGCAGGAGAGTAATGGGAAGGGAGGAGGAAGAAATGATAACTGCAAATTAGAGTTGAAGTAGTGTCTAGTCTTTTTTTTTCTGTGTGAAATAAGCAGCTATTTTTTGGGACAGTGGAGAAGTGACAGAGTCAGATTTTGAAATAGTTGTTGGAGATGGTGGGAGAACCGATTGGCACCAGAGTACCGTCGTAGGATTTCCAAAAATTTGAAGATCTGCTTGAAATTGTTGACTTTAAATGTATTGTGATACCAAAATGCTCAGTATCTATCAGGACTTCCTCTTGGCAGCACTCTGAACCTCTTACATGGAAAACTCAACTCATTTAAGTTGGAACATTTGTTGGGTATGTGATCAAAGGACAAAAGGGCACTCTGTGAATTTAATGAAGGGTAGTTAAGACCATAGCATCAATGTTAGCTGGAGAAAGAAATGAAGATAGGAAGGAACTGATTATTAGGGAGCCAGGAAAGAGATAAATTCGCTTGGGCCCCTGCTGAAGTCAAAGATCAGGTATCTATCCTGCAGGTAATCGGACACAAAGAAGACATGTAATGGTCGCAGAGTGAGCTTTTCTGAACGTGTAATCTGTGAACTGACACCTTTCATTTGTTTGGCGTAGTTTGGGTGCAGACTGGGATGTGGGTGTTGATAGAGATGGAGTGGAGGAATGTGTCACTAGAGATGGGATGCCCAAGAAGCTGAGAGATCTCCAGGCTGGATGCATGGGAGTTCCCTCAGCAAACGATTGAACACCTGTTCTACGTTTAGCAGTGTTCTAGGCCCTTGATGTAGGAGTGAACAAAACAAAAACAGCTGTGCCCACGTGGAATGTAAATTCTCATGAGATGAGATAGAAAATGAACAGTAAACTAAAAACTAACAGAATGATGAACTAGCTAAATAAAATGTGTATAATAATACATTAGACTGTGATTGGTCCGGTGGAAAAAAGAGCAAGGTTACAGAAATTGGAACTGCAGGAGAGGTGGGAACAGGTTGCAGTATTGACTGTGGTGTTGGATGAGCCTCACTGAGGTGGGGAAGGGGGTGAGACTAGTAAGGGAGTGAACCAGGCATCTATTGGGATAAAAAAACATTACAGGTAGAGGAACACATAGACCAATGGCTTCATGGTGGGAGTGGGCTTGATGTGTTCAGGGAACATGCTGGAGTCCAAGTGGCTGGATGCTAAGAGCAAAGGGAGGGTCACTGGAGAGGAGGTTCTGAGTGGACAGGGAGTCACTGAAGGTTCCCAGTGGCAGACTGATCAACTCTGACTCAAGTATTAAGAGGCTCCCTCTGGCTCCTGTGGCGAGATAAGGATGGAGGGGCAAGGATGCACGGGGAGAGACCCATGGCCGTCATCCATGGAGAGTGATGGTGACTCGGACTGGACTGGTAGCCCTGGAAATAGAAAAGAGTTGGGGTTCTTGATATATTTTCAAGGCAGCACTGACAGGATGTCCTCAGGGATTGACTAAAGTCACCTAGGAGGATGTCAGGACTTGGGAGAGTGAGGAAAGCTGTTCCTAGATGACAGTGTTGAGTGAATCGGGAGCTTTATTTTTGCCATATTAGCGAGGTAGTTACAAGGAGCTGCGTGGCAGTTGTGAGCAAGTGTGAGTTGGTGAAGAGAAGTTCTGGAAGCAGAGAGACCATGTGCCATGGTGCAAGTGAGCGGCGATGGGAGTTGGATTAGAGCAGTTGATGGGGCGCTGATAGGGAGAAAGCAGTTAGGTTATAAAGAGCACCCAGAGGCAGAAGCCAAGGGACTTGTTACTTATTAGATGTGAATGGCTAGGAGAAAGATTCAAGGATTTTTCTGCAGTTCTAAACTTTGGTGACTAGGGGAGGAGGATGTAATGAAGTGATGCAGAAAACACAGAAACAGCAGCGGTTGGATAGGGAATAAATTGGGAAATGTGCCTAGTATTAGGGCACACTTAATGTGATTTTTTTTTTTTTGATCTTTGTGTGTGTGTGTGTGTGTGTGTGTGTTTGAGACAGAGTTTCACTCTTGTTGCCCAGGCTGGAGTGCAATGGCACAATCTCAGCTCACCGCAACCTCTGCCTCCCGGGTTCAAGCGATTCTCCTGCCTCAGCCTCCCGAGTAGCTGGGACTACAGGCATGCCACGCATACCTGGCTAATTTTGTATTTTTAGTAGAGATGGGGTTTCTCTGTGTTGGTCGGGCTGGTCTCGAACCTGACCTCAGGTGATCCGCCAGCCTCAGCCTTCCAAAGTGCTGGAATTACAGGCATGAGCCACCACTTCCAGCCTAATGTGGTTTTTAAGAATAATGGCAAAGCCTGATTTTCGTGATGGTGAAGAGGTGGAGTTAAGTGGCTGAGAATGTAAAGCCATTTTTCTCACAGCAGAATAGAAACTCAAGAATGTCACAGGGTAGCCAGCAGAGTAGGAATGCAGGTGTGTTAGGTAGACAGGTGAGGTGGAAGAGAAGAGAGTGACTGAGGATAGAGCTCACCAGCCAAGCCCTGGTTCCGGAGAGAACTTTGGCGCAGCATGACCCGGGTTTACACTCCAGTCCAGGTGAACACTCACCCTGTTGGCTGAATCCCGCCACAGCTTGTGTTAGAGTGAGGGAAGCCAGAGAGGTGCACATGGGCTCTAGTCAAGTACCGACACTTGGATTTTTTGGTTGACATTAGGAAATATACCTGGGGCTTTTAGAATACCAAGAAGGTGTTTTATTTAGTTCTAATTCCAAAGTTTTGCCTATTATTTACCTAGGATGCTTCTTCAAGAGTTCCACCGTGCAGGCCTGAGAGGGTTTTCATTTGAGGAGCGTGTTGGGATGAGGAGTTATATATTCATACAGGAGATATTTTTAAAGAAAATTAACTTATGAAAGGTATTCATAGTAGAAAAATGTGATTTGCAAATAATAAAAAGAATCCCTCTCTCCAGTTCTACCATCTGCTGTTAAACTTTAAAAAAATGCAATGTTATGACAAGGAGTGGATAATAGTAAACACTGCTATACTAACCACCTGTCTTAAAAAGTTAATGTTACAAATTTCTGTTCTATTGAGTTCCTGTTGTGACATCCTCCCTTTCCCACAGACATAACCACACTTGGATGTATCCCTGAACAATATGTAGTCTTGTTTTACGTGTTGTTAAACTTAATATAAGCAGTATAATACTTTTTTTCTGTAACTTTTTATCACTCAAAATGTAGTTTTGAGGTTTACCCCTGTTGATACACATAGCTCTTGTTTTTTTCATTTTCACTTCATATAGTAGGTCATTTTATAAACACTTTTTACAATATTTCAGTGACTGCTTAATAGTCTATTGTGTAAACACAGTATAATGTATTTAAACTGCTTCTTTTGGCTGGGCTTGGTGGCTTGTGCCTGTAATCCCAACACTTTGGGAGGCCGAAGGAGCGATCTCTTGAGCTCAGGAGTTTGAGACCAGCCTGGGCAACATAGGGAGACCTGGTCTCTACAAAAACAAAACAAAAAACAAAAACTGCTCCTTTTGTTAGACATTAGGTTGTTTCAGTTTTTTCCTAAAAGTATTAATATTCTTTGAGCTAATTTTTTGTGCGCAACCATTATTTCTTTAGAAATAACATAAGTGGAATTGCCAGATTGATAGTTTTGCAAACTTTTAAATATGAAATAAAATATTTAAAGTGAAAAATATATATGTTGCTGCCGTTATTTTCAGGAAAGGCTGTGAATCCCTTTCTTTCTTTATTTCAGTCTCTCTTTCAATTGCCTGAATTTCGAAGACTCGTTCTCAGTTATAATCTGCCACAAAATGTACTTGAAAATTGTCGAAGTCACACAGTAAGTTGGTGTCAACAAATTTCTTCACTGTTGTTTAGTCCTTTTCATCCCTAAGGCTTCCAGATTTTTGCCTAAAGCTGATATCCGTGATACTCTGTGGCCTGTGCTAATACTTGTTTTCATTTCTAAATGGCTCATTTTCCTTTTTTGGGATAACATATAAGGGTATGCAAAAATGTAAAATTAAGTAGGAATAAAATGAGAAAAACAGCTCCAAGAATATGTGGGTGGGGAGACCCCAAATACTGTTATGCTTGTTGTATCCTTTCTCTTCCTGAGCTGCTCAAGTGATGTAATGCTGGAGAGATGCCCTGATGCCAGAGACCTGAGCCTTCTTTGTCTATTTTATTGTGTTTTTGCCAAAGGTTGTAGCCTTCTGCCGGCAATTTAACCCTTCCCAGGATTTCACCTTAGCGTAATGCGTTTTCTCCATGAGAGGGAGGGCAGCAGCTTCAGAAAGTGGACATTTCTGTTTTTCCAACAGTGCTGTCTCTCTGGCTTCTACATAGTTACTCTTCAGTTTAGAGTACAGTCCTTCCCAGAGTCCCTGTAACATATATAGCCCTGTGGCTTTCACCTAGATCTAGGTAAATATAAATGAGGGCATGATTATTGAAAACTTTTTTTTCTTAAATGACCACATTTCCCCTTTCTTTTTTTTCTTTTTTACTTTTTTTCTTTTTTTTTTTTTTTTCAAGATGGAGTCTCACTCTGTTGCCCAGGCTGGAGTACCGTGGCCCAATCCGGCTCACTGCAAGCTCCGCCTGCTGGGTTCACGCCATTCTGCTGCCTCAGCCTCCCGAGTAGCTGGGACCACAGGCATCCGCCACCACGCCCGGCAAATTTTTTTTTGTATTTTTAGTAGAGACGGGGTTTCACTGTGTTAGCCAGGATGGTCTCAATCTCCTGACCTCATGATCCACCTGCCTCGGCCTCCCAAAGTGCTGGGATTACAGGCGTAGCCACTGCGCCCGGCTCACGAAAACTTTTTTTTTCTTTACACATTCTGATTTTCTAAATGAGATGTTGTAAGAGTACATGTGCTTTGTTTTCTACAGGAAAAGAGAAATATCATGTTTATGCAAGAGCTTCAGTATTTGTTTGCTCTAATGATGGGATCAAATAGAAAATTTGTAGACCCGTCTGCAGCCCTGGATCTATTAAAGGGAGCATTCCGGTCATCTGAGGAACAGCAGGTACAAAAGAAGCCTTATTCTTGAGTTTGAAGTCACGCCTTGTCAATATTAATGTGGTACTGCTTTATTTCAGCTGCATAACAAGCTGTGAACATGACTAAGCAGGACTATGGGCGCTCGTTTCTGACTTTTATTTTGCCTACAGAACAGGTGGTGAGAGAGAAAGCATGTGTGTGTGTGTGAGAGAGTGTGCGTGTGTTGCACCGGGTCTGGCAGTTCTAAAGAGAAGAAGAAATAGTAGTAGAAAGAATGTAGAATTATACAGGGGCTATTGACGTGCAAAGGAGGAGATTGGAAAATACCTCAATGAACTGTAACAAAAGGGATACCAAGAAAAGTAGTCCTTTGTCTGCACCTTTGTCTTGGAATGGTCCAGATGGAAATTGTAGCTTTAAAATATCTAAATCTGAGTTCAGGAAGGAGCTTTTCTCAGCAACTTCTCTCTTCTAGACTTTGCTTTCCCTACCTCCTATTAAAAAATAGCTGGGCATGGTGGTACGCGCCTATAGTCCCAGCTACTCGGGAGGCTGAGGCATGAAGATCCCTGAACCCAGGAGTTTGAGGCTGCAATAAGCTGTGATTGTGCTACTGTACTCCAGCCTGGGTGACAGAGTGAGACCCTGTCTCTGAAAAAATAATTAAAAAACAAAAACAAAGCTGTCACTAATTAGATCAGCTTCTTCCTCATATGATTTTTTTTCATTCTCTATTTGAAGGTCCTACAGTTCTACAAAATTCTCAAAACATTAAAATTTTCTTTCTTTATTCAGATCTCTGTATTGTTCTAGAGTTCCTTGGGCCTTTTTCTTAAGAAGTCCTACTGGGAAGATTTTGTTTATTTTTCTTTCTTTGTCATAAGTAGATGTGGCTGGAAGTAGTTGAGTTCCAGCTTCCTTCTAGCTACAACTTACAGGTTGCTTAATGCACCTTCTTTTTTATGTATAGTAGCTGGGTTTCAGTGTTTCTATGTTTTCATGATATTCAGCCCCCAAAAATAAATGCTTTCAGGCTGGGCGCAATAGCTGATGCCTGTAATCCCAGCACTTGTGACGCCGAGGCAGGTGGATCATTTGAGGTCAGGAGTTCAAGACCAGCTTGGCCAACATGGTGAAACCCCGTCTCTACTAAAAATACAAAAATTAGCCGGGCGTGGTGGTGTGTGCCTGTAATCCCAGCTACTTGGGAGGCTGAGGCAGGAGAATTGCTTGAACCTGAGAGGCAGAGGCTGCAGTGAGCTGAGATCGTGCCACTGCACTCCAGTCTGGGTGACAGAGAGAGACCCTGTCTCAAAACAAAAAACAAAAAGAAAAAAAGAAATGCTTTTATGGTAGTATAATCTTAAATCATTGGTGGGATAAGGATAAATTTTAATTTCTCTTAGTATTGCATCTAACTTTTATGCAATTTGTGCCTCTCTTATAGCAAGATGTGAGTGAATTCACACACAAGCTCCTGGATTGGCTAGAGGACGCATTCCAGCTAGCTGTTAATGTTAAGTGAGTGTTGAGGGTTTGTTTGTACATCCTTCCAACTCACAGTGGGGCAGTGAGAATTATATGCTGGAAAGTTACTCTCCTTAAGTAGAAATTGCTGGTTTTTAACCACACCTCCTGGGATAATCACTGAGGTAGTCCTCATCATGTATCCCTGTCACCTTCAGCTTTCCCCTCTGAGGATATAGCAGTCATCTAATCCTGCAGCTTTTCCCCCGCCCCCAACTAAAGGACAATAAGTGTTAACTTTGTTAAACTCAGCATGTACTATAAAATGTATTTGTAAAAAGGTCAAATCAACCTCTGTTGCAAACATGATGGTATAATACGGATACTTAAATTTAAGATCCCTTTTGAGGTCTACTTAGAATATGTCGAGTATAGGCTATAGTCATCTCAGTCACTCAGAGAAGTGAAATTTAGGGCACAATATGGATATCCCTCTGAGAAATCTGTGTTTTAAATGGTTTCAATTCTAGGTAGAAGAATTGTAACTATAAAATGGTTTTGGAAACAGCAACTTAACATAGTTAGCAATTTGAGATGGACTTGTAAGAAGAAACTTTTTATTTCTATTGTATCAGGGAGAAAAATGTTTTGTATTTGTAAATCTGTGCAACAGAGTTCATTCGTACGTTTATACTACTTCTATACCTTGCATACATCTATCATTGGATATAGATGTATATATTGAAAGCATACAGATACCTGTATTTGTCTGCATTTGTGACTCTGCTATTAGGTTTTAAGCTCCTTAAGTCCAGGGATTGGACCTTCTTGTCTTTGTGTCTTCAGAGTTTAGCACAATGCTCGAAAGAAGGTGTTCAAGAAGTATTTGAACTGAACTAATTGTTACTTATTTAGATCATACCTGGCTCTTTGGGGGTTGATGAAAATGCACTATTTTTGCTTTTGAATGATGCTTGGATTTTATGTAGCACATATCTTAATCCAAACAATCCAGAATTGTCTCCTTTTCCTAAAAGCAGCAGTCCCAGGAACAAATCTGAAAATCCAATGGTGCAGCTGTTCTATGGTACTTTCCTGACTGAAGGGGTTCGTGAAGGTAAATTCTCTGCTCTGAATTTTAATTCTAGACCTGTGATCATATCTTTATTACTGTGTCCCTTTGAGGAGGCAGTACAGTGAAAAAGCTTGAGAGTCAGCAGTACCCAGGTCTGAATATTGGTTCTGCCTCTGTTTAACTGTGGATAATCTATGGAGGCTTCTGGATCCTCAGTCTCTTCATCTGTAAAATGTGCACAATCTTTATCTCAGATTTATCATATTAATACTTGCACAGCCCAAATCTGACATTAATGTCAGGTAGTAATTTTACTCAGTTTTCTCTGTGTTGCTTATTCTAATATAACACCGAATCTCAAAAGGTTTTATTGAGTGAGACTGCACGAAATGTTTTTCTAGACTAGAGACTTTTCACTCTGGAGGCTTATCTGTCTAAGCTGCATGCTAGACACATAATTTATTTTTAATTATGGAGAATTTAGAATACATTCAAATAGAGCAATTTTAAAACCTCCATGAATACAGCCTTAGCCCACAGCCAGTCATTCCCCATCCCACCCCACTCTTACCAATCTGATACTTTTTAAAACAACCCAGTACCAATATGACTCTGAAAAATAGCATTTTAAACTATCAAATATTTAGTCAGTGTTCAGATTTCTAATTTGTTTTCATAATTTAAAAAAAATAGAAAAATTTATTTTTAGAGTTTGTTTTAATCAGGACCCCAGTATGTGATTCATTTATGACTGAATATTTGTAGGCTCCCCCTCCATCGTTTTTTCCTTGAAATGTATTTTTTGGAGAGACTGGGTTGTTTGTTCTGTAGCATTTCCACAATCGGAAATTTTGCTGTTTGCATGTCCTCTGATACATATTTAACATATTTTAACATATCCCCATGTTCCTCTCTACTCCTCCTCTTATAAATTGGCAGTTGGATTTAGAGATTTGACTAGAGTTAGGTAAGGCTTTTTTTGGCAAGACTATTCACAGGTGGTGAGAAAACCCTTGATTAGGAAGCACATAATGTCTGGTTGTCTTTCTTTTTGCAGTTTTTTTTTTTTTTTTTTTTTTAAAGACAAGTTCTTGCTCTATTGCCCAGGTTGTAGCACAGTGGCATCATCATAGCTTACTGTAACCTGAGACTTCTGGGCTCAAGAAGTCCTCCTACCTTATCCTTCTGAGTAGCCAGGACTTCAGGCGTGTGCTACTGCACCTGGATAATTTTTATTTTTTGTAGAGACAGGGGTGTCATTGTGTTTTCCAGGCTGGTCTTAAACTCCTGGCCTCAAGTGATCCTCCCACCTTGGCCTCCCAAAGCGGTGGGATTACAGGCATAAGCCACCACGCCCCTGGCCTTTTCCCAATGTTACTGGTTGTCAGTGTTCAGTGTCTGGATTGACTGGCTCATTATAGGTTGCTATAAAGGCTTAAGTGCATTTCTAACAAGCTGTCAGAAAGTTGCTGAATTTAAAATGTTGTCTCTGTGGAGCCAGAAGATAGGCTTTAGATAGTCATAATGATGTCTTGTTTAAAAAGTCTCTCTCTTTGCCTAGGAAAACCCTTTTGTAACAATGAGACCTTTGGCCAGTATCCTCTTCAGGTAAACGGTTATCGCAACTTAGACGAGTGTTTGGAAGGGGCCATGGTGGAGGGTGATGTTGAGCTTCTTCCCTCTGATCACTCAGTGAAGTATGGACAAGAGGTACGTTGGAGATCTTTATTTGCTATGCCAGTGACAAAGCCAGTTAAGTAGGAGTGAGCTTTTGGGCAGACTAGTTTCCCATCACATATTAAGTAACTTTACACTTAGCAGAACTTGAATTTGTCTTAAGTCTCTCATCAGTTGATGTGAGTCAGTGAGTATCAGTACTTTGATAAATAAAATTTTTACTAAAACTATGAATTTGAGTTACTCGTGTAAAGGTTGAATGCTGCTTCTGATGTTTTAAGTATGATCAAGTTTCTCTCTTTCTGTTGAAGCCTACCTGTACCTGAGTAGGGAGAGCCCACTGCCTCCATATTTTCGGAGGGTAAAAGTACAGTGATTAACTCCTATGGTATGCCATTTAGACTATTTTCCCTGTTATAGTATTTACTGTTCTCAATTGTAAATTCTGCCTTTGCTTTTAACATTTTTAAAATTTAATTTTCATTTGTTTGTTTATTTATCTTTTTTTTTTTTTTCTGGGTTGGAAAGAAAGGGGGGAAGTTAAAGGGAGAGCATGGGTAGTTAACATCTCAGTATTCCAGTTGGGTTAAGAATTAGTGAATAGCATTTGCAACATAATTCTTAACACTATACAGTTGGGATTGTTCTCCATTGAGCATACGTTTTGAGACAAAACTGTGGCTTATATATGAGTCCAACTCAGTAATTACTATAGGAGAAAGCGGAGCTTTCCTGAATTAAAATAGGGAGCCTAACATGAGCCATATGAAAATACATTCACTGTAGAGCAGTGTTGGAACTCAGAGAGCTGCTGCCTCCCTGGCTTTTCAAGGAAATAACTGATTCCTAATGGAGGAATTATGTCATCTGTACCATCTGTGCAAACCTGGTGCATCCTCTTAAAAAAGAGGGAATGTTCACCAGCTATACTTAGGCCTGTGAAGACCTGTATTCCAGGATGGGAATTCTATAAAAATTAAACAAAAACAACAAAATCATCATGCTCATTTAGATTTCACCCTGAGGTAGTCTCACAGGCTGTCTGAATTCACCTCATTATGCTGACAGGGTCTCTGAAGGGAATGCTGCTTGCACTTGTGGTAAAGGAAACATTTTAAAGCTGTTGACAGGAACCTCAGACATACAGGTGAATTGAATACAAAAGCCAAATCTGATTTAGCTTTTCCTCACCTGTGATCCCTGACTGTTAAGTCTTTTTTATGTCAGTGCCTGCCTTCCTTGAAACTCAAGTAACATCGTAGGTTGATTTGACTGGCTTCTTTATGAGACCTCTGTAAATTTTTGAAATTCAGAGATTTTTCTTAGAAATTGAGAAATTGTAAAACCATGAGGCTATTTCAAATTTCCTTTGTACACATCAAGGAGATTCAAATTATGGTTAATAGACTAAAACAGCATGTAATACATGTACACATATGAGTCTTTTTAGCTGGCCCATGGAGTTGTCTCTTTAGCTACATGCTGCTTCGATCATAATTTCATATTCTTTAGTTAGGCTAGCTGTTTTCTTAAGTTTTTAAACCTCTTTTGAAACTGATGATGTAATGAATGAGTTGTGTAGATGCTTAGTGCAGTCCACATATCCAAGGGTGGTTTATTCTGAGGATGATGGTTGAGTAAAATTCTGTTGACTGGCTGGTAAATTTGGAGTCTTGAGAAATGTTGAGCCATATTCTGTAAGAGAATGAGATTCTAAATGTTCATTTCCTTTAGTGTTTGGAATAAAAAAAAAGTTCTAGCATGAGTTTCCCTAGAGTATAAGTTCTATATCAAAGGAAGAAAGTTGATGAGGGATATTTGAAATCTGGCTATTGTTATTTACTAAAATTAATTTTTCTTTCTCTCACATTTCTACTCTTGACACTAGCGTTGGTTTACAAAGCTACCTCCAGTGTTGACCTTTGAACTCTCAAGGTTTGAGTTTAATCAGTCCCTTGGGCAGCCAGAGAAAATTCACAATAAGCTGGAATTTCCTCAGATTATTTATATGGACAGGTGAGTTCTTGGCTGATTTTTTTTTTTCCTGATGTATTGCAGCAGTAGAGATGAGCATGTACTAAGTATAGTATGCATAGGAATCACCTGGGAGTCATGATAATATGCAAATTTGGATTCTGTGAGTCTAGGTTGAGGGTCTTTGCCTTTTTCTAAGACCTCCCAGGGTTGTGCTTATGTTGCTTCTGATCTCCAGACCATGATTTGAGTAGCAAGACTTTAGGTGAAAGCCCTCCTCTTTTTGGGGGTAGGAACTACCTGAACTCCAGGG